CCCCCCCCCCCCCCCCAAAAAAAAAAATCATGGCTGTCTTGTAGGTAGTAGAAAGTGCCAGTAAATTTAATTACAGTTTTTGTTTCCACTTCTTGAGATAGTTATTGCCTTTCCCCAGGTAATGCGGAAATGGTCTCGGTGATGTTAGAGGCAAAATGTGATCTGGGAGTTAAGATGGGCATCCCTGCTACTGTGACACCCATGAGCTTAGCTGAGGATTTGGGACTCGATGACATTGTTGAGCTCCTATCTAAATTCACAGTATCCAGATAAGAAGTTCTACCTCAGAATATTTGCTTTTGCTACAGCAAGGATTGTTGAATAATGGTTAGATTTGACCTTTGGGTGTGAAGTAGAAAAGGGGAGGCTGTTGTAAGGCTTGCCTCAGGAAAACAAAGCTACTGCTAGCTATGTTATCTACAGAAAGCAAAAGACACCTAAGATTCATTCAAGTGTAGAGTATCAAGAACAACTGCCCTCAGGCTTTTTTTTATATAGATATTTCTTAGAATCACCCACATTTCCTTCCAAAAATTCTGAAAAAAATTTCTAAATATCACTAGGATTCTATGAAAGTATCTTGCAAAGTATCACGAAAGTGAACATTGCTGTAGTATTCTATAGTTGTCACTCTCATTGGAGACCACATCTCTCATTCTTTTGTGTATTCTTCCCTCTTCCAAGTTTCCAAATTGAGTGTTGGAGAGGTTTTGAAAGTAGGCTTCACAGCCTGTCCCCAGAGTCACCATGGAAAAAACTTGTACAATGCTTCTGTTTCATGTCAATAAAAAAGTGACCCTTGAGATTTGATTGTTTTCAGTTTCCACCTCACTTATTTGTTCTTCCACAATTAGCTGTCCTTTTCGTGAATCTGCCCCCGTCTTGAGCCTCTTCATCATGTCGAGGTCGAAGATGGGCGTGGTCGTCCTGCTCTGATCCTCAGTCTCCAACTCATTTTGTTTTTCTTCTTTGAATTTATTATCTAAACTGGAACATAAACCATCTGGTTAATTTTTCTTATTCCTCAATTTAACCAAAATTTTCCTATAATCCTATGCCTATGTCACGTTAACCCTCGCCTAAAGGCTCGGACTAAAATGACTCTGACTCGGGCCCAAAACTTATTGTGCCCATAAACATAAACTCTATTGTTTTACATACGTCATATGCAGGTGAGAGATCTTTGGAACAACATGGCTACTTCTGAACAATGTGACACGTTTATTGGCTGGGACCCAGTTATATTTACGCTCTTTGGCGTATTTTAGTCATTTCTTGTGTCACTGTTAAGCGAAGAATATCGTTTGTTATTACAGGGTTTTCGTGTTTTTATCTGCAGCGGTCTAAGCTTAGAATACATACGAATGAAAACTGTTTTCTCACCTTTCTAAAAACTTCACGCACTCTTCGTGCCCGTAAATCTGTGCGACTCGTTTAGGCATGTCTCCAGTGTTGTCCTTTTTTGTTACGCTGATCCCATTTTCAACGAGAGCCTGCAATATTTCCACGCTGCCATGTTCAGCGGCGCAGTGAGCTGGCGTCCATCCTCCTGCCATGCGCATCTCACCATCGGCACCATGTTCCAAGAGCTTCTCGACACACCTCAAATGACCTTGATGTAAATCACAGAAACAAACGTGTAAGACGCGGATTCGATGAAAACTGAATAGTTCTTTAGGGACTGTCCATACTCAGATTCAGGAACAAGTTGATCATTTGCACCTTTTTTGGAATCAAAAGAAACTATTACCAGTGCGTTACTGAGATTGCGAACGGCGGTGTACGCTAATGCTAGTGCCTTAGTGGAAACCAGCCTAATCGATCAATTCGAAGCGGCAATTAACTACACAATGACTGTGAATATATGAAAATCATTTATGTGAACTGCGGTTTTAAGAAATGTGTATGAAAGCGATCTCTGCAGTAATGAACAATTCTTAGGAAGCAGTGAAAATAGGGCCTTTCATATACAATTCACCACCCATCAGAAATCTTTAGATTTAGTAGAAGGGTTAGATTTTTATGTCCTGGCTAAATTTGTCACCTCCCTCCTCCCAACGAATCACTTAGCCCGTTCCGTAATGTCGAGTAGGTGACTAAGTGTAAGAAGATAAGTAAGCGCTCTGAGATATCTTTTGGTGATTATAGACATCAGATCTCTCTGCGCATTAATACATACTGTTAGTGTGTCGTCGTAATTCAAAGAGCTCCCATGTCGAATCGCATACATGTTTCCAGAATGTCTCGTAAGGAACCGATAGACAGCTCATGACTTACTTATGCTAATGATTCAAACATTCACGAATATTTCCTTGATGTTTCATTTCTTTTTAAGTTATTTTTACCATACCTGCAGCGGCTGCCACATGGAGAGGTGTCCTTTTGCCCCAGTCCCAGTCTTCCCCGTCTGCATCTGACTCACCGCTTAGCAGCAGGTATTCAACAGTTTGGGCATCACCAACGGCGGCGGCCTCGTGTAGATCCGTCATAGGTGACGTAGGTAGGTAGGTAGGTAGGTAGGTAAGGCTTTATTAAAACACGGAAAATAATCAGTTGAGTATTACAAGTTAAAAACTAGAACTATTTACAACTGCTTTACATGATTGCCTTGTTGGAATCCGATGTGTTGGATACCTTCTTCAGATTTTGCTCAAATTGGTCAACAGATCCGACATTTTTTAAACTATCGGGCAATTCATTCCATAACGTATATTATTAAAAACTAGATCATTGGATAATGCAATTCAAGACTTTTTATTGGCTTAGCCATTATGGTATATCAGCCAATATACCATAATCTACAAATATGGCAAGCGTACGTGTCAGCTTAAAATTAAAAGGGAGCTAAAAATTTAATAAACTTTAATAATTTAATTTAACGTTTCTAATAAAACAATTATTCCACTCGCGCTTGTTGGATATGAGATGATTATAGCCAACGAGGCGCGTAGCGCCTCGTTGGCTATAATCATCTCATATCCAACGCGTCATATCATCTCATATCCAACGCGTCATATCATCTCATATCCAACGCGCGCTCGTAGAATAATTGTTGAATAGGAGAAGCTACGTTTTAAATAATTGGTTCTCGGTTTCGACAAGAACCACGTGATAGCTACCTGGCCATGGTTAACACCCATGAAAGACATTTCCTGCAAGATAATCTCGTGATCAATGGTGGCGAATGCCTTAGTAAGGTCAGTGAAAACGACGCCATTTAGTAACCTACCATCGATGTCAACCGACCAATCATTTGTCGCCATAAGTAAAGCCATAAGAGTACTGGGGAGTTCACCTTTGAATTACCGTGTTCCAATGTTCAGATAGTTGGAGCGATAAGTGTAATAGTTAGTAATCAACCAATCGCTGATTAATTGTCTCTCAGTCAGTCCAAATCAGGCGGCCGGTCGCTCAGTAGTCGGTTAATCGATCAGTCTGTCATTTCATCAGTAGGGAACTTAAGCAGTCAGGACGGCAACGCCACGGAAGACGTCGATTATAAAATGAGTTTCTACTTTTAGTTAGAATTTCGAAAATGGCTGTATGTGTTTACTGTCTCATAGAGTGCCAGACCTCCAACACAACATAACGCATAAAAGTAGCGTTGAGTTCCAAATGTAAATTAAAATAATTTGCCGCCGTGGTTTCGGTTCGCAAAGGACGGCTAAGAAATGTACAAAGTTTTAAAACGCACGTGCTGGGCTATTGTTCTGCCAATTAGATCTATTGTTTTTCCGCGTTCTCGTTGCCGTCGCCGTCGTGGTTTGTTTAAATTCCCTAGTAACTCAGACTGGCAGGTAGTCTGTCGCTGTGCATGCAGTTCGTTTCGAGTCAGCCAGTTAGTCGGTTAAGTCAATCAGTCTCTCTGTCTCAGCGTTTTTCCCTCAGTTGGCTAGTTGTCTCATTCACTCCGCTTTGGAAATCAATCAATCAGTCAATCAGAGAAAAATTTACCGCTCAAGGTTCTGAAACAGGGCTTACATGGCTTTTTATATTTTGGCCGAATTTTACTGTCGGATTCGAGAACACTCAATTGCAAAACCTTGTTTCTCACAGAATTTTCATCCGCGCACTGTTTTCTATGGAAATCCTTCACGCGCGCGTAGCTAACAAAGCAGCTGAATATGCACTTTTATCTCCGAGGCGGTACTTTATGAAATAAAACGTCTCGACTAACTTTCAACTACTGACCTTTAATAGTAACTTTACTTAATTAAAAAAAAAAAAAATAACTGCTAAGGTACACGAAGTAAGGCTTTACTTGTTAGGCAAAAGTTTCTTTGGTTGAAAAACCATGTTGAAGGAGCAAATAAAAAGGCATTATTAAAGTAAATTGTAAACAAATTTGTTTTCAAATTTCGAAAGAAAAATGAAATCCAAGCAACATTTTCGTTCTTTTTCCATACTGACTTGGATTTATACACCTCGCTCTCTTATTTATCGCATCACATCCATCGACATATTTCCTCTTGAATGCTGGTTGGAGGTCAGCCAACTTATTTGTTCATTTAGCGTTGTTTCTAGACACATCGCAATTAATAAAATTCGAGAAAAGAAACGTTGACGTATGAATTAGACTAAATCTATTCCAAAATTCAAATTTTCCATTTTCCATTTCATTAAAATAAATTACAAAAAAATCCACATAGGGTTTGAAAAATTCACTCTTGTTCATCTCATTTAGATTAATTTTCGTCGTAAAACAGTCTTAATGCGATTGAAATTCTAAACGCGTTACATATCACCGGCCAATTTTAAGTCTTACCTCACCTTTCACTATATTTCTAGAGCTATTGAATCCTATGTAGACTTTCATCTGATCTTTCCACAGAATATAATGATAATTTCATCCCACTTATATGATGTAAAAGCTGCAGGCCAAGGACTACATTCTTTCTCCGTTAAATGACTCAAAATTTCTGTGTGAAATTGCCATTACCCTCTAAGCCGAGGCGGAATCCTGCAGAAGCTCAGCGTAACATTGAAAGGCAATTTATATATTAGTACCAAAACGACACGGCGCTTTTTTTTTTTTAGTACACAGTAAGCTGCTTCGTTGTGTCAACATTACAGAAATCAATAGCAAAGAGGAGAAATTAACATATGAAAATCCCTCTTGGTTGCCTTGACAAAATACACCTGCTCAAATTGATTCATGCGCATTCATTAAATCACGCTGAAATCGATTTATGCGCATAAAGAATCACGTCGCGAGGATCCGCAAGCTATAACTATATTTTAACTTTACTTTGCGATCTAGTTTTAGTAGTCTTTCTAGATACAAGTCTGTAAATTAATGGACCCGGCCTCTCGCCCCCAGACCAGGTACATGCGTCAGCCTCCGACAATCCCTAAGTTTTGTTAACGCTACACATGATGCTTTTAGGAGTTCCTCTTTTTGAAACTTTATTTTCTAAACTGTGTGAGACGCAGGTGTGAGACGCAGTGACTACATAGGTCTTGTTTAAAGTCATATAAAGAAAAGCGTTTTAAAAAGGGACTATGTTGAAAATTACTTGGAGTGATTGGAGACCAAGAAGGGTTCCTGGGAGTTCTTGCTTGTTTGTTTGTTTGTTTTTACTATAGAAACGTATAGACCACTTTCATAAATGGCTGCCGGATTAATATTCTTTTGTTTAAATTTAAATTAGCCCTTCTGGCCTTGCTTGAGATAATGTATTCTTTTGAATTTTGTACTGGAGAACGAGGCCAGAAGGGCTAATTTGAATTTAAACAAAAGAATATTAATCCGGCAGCCATTTATGAAAGTGGTCTATA